ATATTGATATAATGAATCTTTGTCCGTCCCTCAATCTTAACTTTTTCGATATAATTTGATGATGACTTCAATGTCCATGTTATCATATAGCTACCATAAAAATATTACCCCGATATTGTACTTCGTAAATATGTATATTAAAATCAGTCATGATACTAATATTTGCTACAAATATTAGTAACTATAGTTTATTGTCAATAAATCTCTTATATAAATTAGGATGGCCTGGTTCTCAACTAAAATTAAAGTTTAATTGATTACAAGATAGCATTTCTCAAAATTTTTGTCCTGGGGTTAATATTTGGCGAGCTGGATCAAAGGATAAAAAGGTCCTTTTTTGAGGTTTTTATGATTTTTTTTCATATTTCTTCCAAAGGAAAGATATAAAATTTTAGTATCATTAGAAAGGTCCTGGGGAGACGCTTTCAATGGCATACCAGATTTGTGTAAATTTTTGTGTAACAGTAAAAGTAATCTAAATTTTTCGTAAAAGTTTCAGATTTTTTACATTTTAACATATATGATTTTAATATAATTAATTGAAATCAATAAAATCTACGAAACGGGTTTTTCCGTTTTTCAAAATTCAATCTAGATCAAATTTTATTAAAATTTATCGAAGCCTATTTACGCTACCAAAACATCGCGAAATAATGTAAAAAATAACATAGAAATTGTTATTTACAAAGCAAGCGTAACAAACAAGTAGATTTAGAATAAATTATTTTACTATGTTAGTTAAACTGAAAAATTTGATTGATAATAGAATGAAACCATAAAGTGTTATATACTATTGTAAAGCTATTGAAATTACGCGTATGCTGATGTACATATTAAGTATGTTAGATAAATATAGCTAACAGAATACCTGGGACAAAATAAAGTTTAAAATATTAAGATAAAATACAAAACATAAAGAATTTCGAAAAACAGAAAAAACCATTTCGGTGAAATTTAGTTGAGGTTTATAATATAATAATTTCAATTAATTACATTATATATTTCTATGTAAAAATATGAAAAACTTAAAATTTTTCAGAAAAATTACGACATTTGTAATCATTTTGGTGTTGTATACGAATTTGTGTATGTCATTGAAATCGTCTCACAAAAATTTTGAGAAATGGTATCTTAGAATGAACTAAATTTTCATTTTCGGTGGGAACATCAGCAATTTCCATTTTGGGGCCTATTAGGGCCCCAAATTTAATAACGCATATGTGTTATTAAATTAAAATTCGATGTACATAGGTGTTCATTTGTTAAAAAATCAATAGTCATATCAAATTCTACATGAAACAATAATTTGCTTTAAATTCCAAATAATTTTCACCAAAAATTTCTCTTATTATCTATGGTTGAATTCTTAATTTCAAAACATATCGTTTTATATTAGATAAAAATTGAGTCCTTCGAGCTTCTATCATTTGGAAATAATTAGTTTTAAAGTCAAATATTTTATCAAAATTGAAATTTTTGGTAATTTTCTCATATAATATTAACAATAAAATTTAATTAGATTAATATTCATATAATGTCAATCAAGATAAAAATTCGAAATGAGCTGCATTGGTTATTTGCAAAACATACTTCTAAAAAGTGGCTTTTAAAACTAGATTTCAAAACAATCTTAGAATTTCAAATTTGAACTTTTAAAGATACTTTGACCCCCATTTTCTCATTGTCTGATTATGTTTTATCAAAACGATAAATTGACATTTTACATACAAAAATTATTTTAACAAGCAGTATATCCACCTGTTAAACGATAACCGGAGGTTGAGATATTGGCCCTGAGAGTATCAAATAAGACTCGGGAGTATCACGGTACTTTTGAACATCAAATAGTATCAAAAAAAGTACCATCGCACCAAATTTGCCATCGCTGATTTACATGTATATAAAACTGACTTCTGCAAATTTATATTGCGATTGCTAACTAAACAACATATTTATTAATGTTTTAACTATGTTCCGGGGGGCACTTGTATGAGGGCTAGGTGAAATCATGAACCAATTTTGTTAATTTTCAACACCAAGCAATATTTGTCATCAATGAGCATTTTTGGAGAATTTCATCGCTCTGGCTCCTAACGTTCGGAACCTATCCGGTTTTCAACAAACAGACTGACATATGGACATCGCTAGATGATCTTAAAATCTTATAAAAAATATTTATAACACTCTTAAATTTCAGATATATGCAAATTATAGAAAGATATACACAAAATTTTTTATTTTTGTTTGTCAGAGAATTTAGACGTAATCGCCTCAACATTGTTTTTATCATAAAATTTGTCGCGACAAAAAAATCGGATATAGCGTCAATATAAAATCGAAAAAACTGCATCCTATATTTTAGATGTAATAATATTTATTAACGGAGTTTTGGAGTAACGCTATGTCCTACTTCGAAGATAATTAAAAAAATGCTATATATATAAGAGATTTTATAAAATCTTGCTCCAAGTCAAGTAATTCCGCAGTAAAAATTGGGTGTTATAGCAAGCCTAGTTGCAGTAAAACGTATTGGAAGAAGGTACTTCATTTTATATTGTGTCAATTTGTATCAGAAAGCTGAACAGTACTTTTTGATTTGTGGATATATCATAACAGCATAAGTATTTCATTCAGATTTTTGTATAAATTACAATCCCCAAAAATTATTTTTTAACTCAAGAATAAATTTTTTATTCAATATTTGGCACTTAATTTTCCGCTATTTTTTCAAAATGGACGTTTTTGTTGTATTTTTTTTTTTGCTCAAAATAAAGCTTAGACCATTGCCTTTAAGAGTTTTGTGATAACTTAGTGGGATGCGAGTGAGATATATAAGTAAAAATTTTGAGATAAAGAAGTTTTAATTTTGCATCTCCTTTTAGTAGTAAGGACTTTCATATATACATATATACAATCTTCTCACCTTTTTATTGTTGAAAATGTTTCGGAAATTCTTTCTCGTAAAGTGTATAGGTCGGGCAGACAGTATGACACAAAAGAAGCCTAAATTGAAGGAACTAAAAAGGCTTGGACCGAAATTTCCTTGCCATTACTTAAGAATCTTTATAACTCTTTATCACCTCGAATTTTCGAAGTTATATCAAGTAACGGCGGATATGTTCCATACTAAATCTTTTCTAAAACATTGTAAAAATGTTTATAAAAAAAAAGTTCCATGAAAAATGCATTTTGTTGTTATTTTTGTCAATTAAAGATGATGAACCTATTCAAATGAGCCAAAAAATATTGTTCAATAACGTAGTGTTTTAGAATAAAATCATAAAAAATCGGTTATTAAGTAGGTTAGGATTAAAGTATTGCACTAATGTTTGTCTGTTTAATGATATATAAGACATTATGCTATTAATTAAAATTTTACTATAACCAATTGGTCCATTATTTGCTGCAAAAAATTAATTTGAATGTAAACAATACAGTGAATCTATCTATCTATCTATATATATATGTATATATATATATATATGTATGTATATATATATATATATATATATATATATATATATATATATATATATATATATATATATATATATATATATATATATATATATATATCGGAATTGTTTGAAACCATCCTTCTTCGATAAAAATATTAAATGACTGAAGGTACACAATTTATATCTAATTTTTTTTCATACGTATAGTAGTATTTTTAAGATTCACGACTATGTGTGGTTTAATCTTGAAGGAATGATCACGAAAACTAAAAAAATTAATACCTTTATTCTTTACATTAATTTGTATTCTATATACATTTTGTGTAAAATATTATGTTTTTTAACATAAAAGTGCTCTGTTAGTAACTAAGAAACATTTACAAATAATTTTGCACATTTTTACATTTATTTGCAATTTTTTTTCCCGAATAGCAAAAAAAAAAAAAATAACAAAAATAATTATAACAATTTTGACAAACAATTTTTGTTACCGCATGAAATAACTTTTAAAACATTTTACTACCCCAGCTAAAAATGTTCATATATATATTCATATATGGAGTCATACATCTTCATATATGGAGCTCCATATATGTTCGGATCCGAAAATTGGCGATATATGAACATATATGACCATATATAAAAATCAATTTTCTAAAAATTTGATTTTTATATATTTTAATATTTAAAAGTTACAGGTAACATAAGTTTTGACTTATAAATAGAAATAAATTATTTAATTAACATTAATAAATATTTAAATTTATATTAAAAAACTATACTCTATGTAAATACGTACATACTTATTTATATGTTGTGTAAATAATAAATAAGAGAAAAAATAAAATGAAATCTTAGCACATATGTATGTATTTCTGGTAATTCTGTTTTAAATTAATGAGAATATATACATAATTTTAAATTCATTTCTTATAAATTTGTATACATAATATAATAAAATAATGATGATAAATATATGTATAATAAAATAAAATAACAAAATCTTAAGACATGATTCAAACCAAATCTATTAAATATTTTAAGCCTAAAATAAAAAAGTATTCATAAAAAATAAAATATATTCAGTCTCTCTATTTACGGGAATTACATATTTTTATGTTGCCTTTTAAGTTCTCCTATTTTTTGTGTCTTAGGCGCAATTTACATGAAGACTTTTCAGACGTCTGTTTTTTCCAATTCTCTTTTGAGAATCTTCCAAAAAATCATGAACATTTATACGGCGATTTTTTACATGCAACTATGCATGTCTTTTTTGATGTTTAATTGTATAATCCTTTTTAATTACTTATTCGTAATAAAAATAAAATAAAATTTTTAACATAAAAACCATTTAATTTGATTTAAAAAAAAATAATTACACGCTTTAGTATTTTTTTAATGCAAATTTTAATGTTTTCATGTAAAAAAAGACATAATTATTTTTTTACATGAGCATAATATCAACAGTACGAATGAGTTTAAAGAGGAATGTCAAAAACAATCATGAAAATCCCAAATCATGTTTGTTTTCTTACCCCCCATTCTTCTCTACCCCGCTCACCACCAATCATCGACAAACATGAAAACAGACGTCTGGGCAAACATGAAAAAAAATCATCGTGTAAATTGGGTGTTAGTTTGATTAACATCATGCGGAGTTTAGGGGTTCATTCATGTTTTTGAGCATATTCGGCAGAAATCTAATCAATTATATAAAAAATCAAAATTATAGTAAACATTAATACGTTTAGCTTGACATTCTTACCTGTTAACGCTTTCCGAGCATCACCATTCAATGTGCCGTATTTGTTGTTTCTCATATCATCCCCTTGTGTCTTTGAAGGTTGCCCGGAAAAGGTACATGTTAAAATGGCATCCATTTATTGTATGAAATAAATAACAAAGTCTTCAGGCCAAACGGGATGCCTTGAATGTCGACCCTAATACGCTATCATACACTATTCCTTTTATTTCCTTTAATAGCACTATCTGAAAACACAAATTCAATAAGAATACAGTAATTTATATTTACTATGTTTAATAGGTATTTTTATATATGTATTATACTTACATCTTTTTCAAAGTTTTTCATACATCTATCTGGAGTTCCTTTCAGGAGAATTTATAACTTCGATGATTGTTGCATCAATTTCCTTTATTTGTATGGTTTCAATTGCAGGATTTGACACAGCAGGTTGATCTTCAGATTCTCCACTTTGTTGTGCTTCGGTTACTTTTTCTGCTGTTATCCTTGCCAGTTTGTCTTGAAAGTTTTTTTTATTCAAGTCGTAAGTTTTCTGCAGTATTGTTCTAAATAATTATTACCACTTTTTATTTTATTTATGAATATTTATGAAATTAAATTATATACATACAGTGAATCAATTAAGTAATTTGCCTATGTAAAATTTTATAAATTTTAAGAAAAAACTTTATCTGAACAAATATTTTTAGCAAAATAAAGCAATTTGTTTATTGTATTTTTTAAAGAATATCTTATATTTTAATTTTCTACCATAAAAAGTAAAATCGTGATATTAATTAACGAGATTTTTGATAAAATGTGAACGTATTGTTAACTTCTAAGGTCAATAAAGTATTTTGCTTTTTTTAGGTTTTTTGTTCATTTTTTTTAATATTGCTGCATTATTATTACTCCTATATATTAGAAAAACATTTTTTAGATATTTTAGTAGTGGAACGACTAAGTTTGGACATTTCTTAACCGATTTATTATCCCATATACCTATAAGAATTTTTCAATATTTGACTTAACATGAAATCCATCGTTTCTTTGATTTAATTTCGAAAATAATAAGTAATTTTGAATTGGATACATGATATATTAGGAAATCAATGGATTTGGACCTAGAAAGAAAATTTTAGTGGGGTATAAATCTATAGATTATAACACAAATAATCTAGGTTTTTGGTCATTTTGTATTCATAAACAAAAACTACATTACGGAAACCCCATCTATTTGGGGAGTTACTGTGTGAATTTTATTTAGAATTGTATAATATTGATTCTTATTCAATAAAGCTAACACTAAGTACCATCCTAGCCACTCTAAGTATGGTGATATCACCGTATACCACTATAGAACTATTACATGCTAGAATTTTGATATTCTACCTCATATTTTGAATGCATTATTTTATGAATTAAATACAGTAGGCGTAGCACAGTGGTATAGGAAAAAAAAAAGAGGGAAATAATTCGGTAACTTCTAAACGGTTAATCCGATTTTAATGAAATTTGGTGTGCACAAAGAGGAGGTGTTGTCGAGTTTAGGTTTTGAATTTGGACCTTATAGGCCAACCAGGGGCCCGGCGGGGGGTCATCAAATTAGGACACCTCGGCTATGTTAAATTTTTAAAACGATCCTATTTCTTCATTTGAGTTCCGATTTAAAAAAAATTTCGTATATAGAATCTCCTCATCGAGCACTATAAAAAATGTTGTCATAGCAGTAAATTATCTCTTATAGTTTAGGAGATATTCGCATTTGAAAATTAAAATTTTAAAATTTTTACCGTCCTTACTTTAGTTTTTTTTGATAATAGCAGGTCCAAATATTCCCGATTTTCGCCATTTTGTTTTATTCGCTTAACAACAAGTTTATATATCAAGCAGTGAAAGAATTATGTAAAAATCATGACTGAGTCCAAAGTTATAGGCATTTTAATTTAAAAAATTAAAAAAAGGCGATTTTTTGTCATTTTTTTGGGAAAAAAGTATCTTTTTCTTTTTAAGTTATCTAAAAAGTTTCTAAGAAGATGTATATAGAATTTATACTTTTTGGAAAGCTGACTTTACATAAAGTACGATAAATGAAACAAAACCTAAAAATTTTTGATACCGAGGGGACCAGGTCCATCCAAAAAAACCCTATTTTTTATGGAAAATTAAATTTTGAGCAAAAATTCTCAAATCGGATAGTCGATATCAAATTATAGTGACCTGTTTTATATGACCCAATATGTTCTTAATCATTTTGTAACGGGTTTCGATAACCCCGCCCCTGGTATGGATATAATAGGCAAAAAACTAAAAAATCCCATTTTTGGGATTTTTTAAAACTTTTTTGGGAATTCCGGGATTTCTAATAAGAAAATTCGAAATTTTGATTTAATTTTGGATTTTAAGTAAAAAAATCTACCTAACTGTAAAATTTCATCAAAAAATATTCATAAATAAAATTTTTATTGCAATTAGAAAAATTTGTATCTTCGCAAAAACTGAATAAAAAACATTTTTTAATTTTTTTTTAAAAAAGTATTCCGCGAATTTTTTAATTTTCAAAAATTATATACAGTTTTGAAAAATAGACAAAATTACCTTTCCATTGATATATAACATGCCTACCTAATGTTTTTTAAGTGACAAATTAATTAGGGAAAACTCAACATCTTTTAGAAAATTTGCCTAGCACTATTATTTTCATCCATAAGGTTAACTCTTAAATTTGTTACATATATGGATGAAAATAATAGTGCTAGGTAAATTTTCTAAAAGATGTTGAGTTTTCCCTAATTAATTTGTCACTTAAAAAACATTAGGTAGGCATGTTATATATCAATGGAAAGGTAATTTTGTCTATTTTTCAAAACTGTATATAATTTTTGAAAATTAAAAAATTCGCGGAATACTTTTTTTAAAAAAATTAAAAAATGTTTTTTATTCAGTTTTTGCGAAGATACAAATTTTTCAAATTGCAATAAAAATTTTATTTATGAATATTTTTTGATGAAATTTTACAGTTAGGTAGATTTTTTTACTCAAAATCCAAAATTAAATAAAAATTTCGAATTTTCTTATTAGAAATCCCGGAATTCCCAAAAAAGTTTTAAAAAATCCCAAAAATGGGATTTTTTGGTTTTTTGCCTATTATATCCATACCAGGGGCGGGGTTATCGAAACCCGTTACAAAATGATTAAGAACTTATTGGGTCATATAAAACAGGTCACTATAATTTGATATCGACTATGCGATTTGAGAATTTTTGCTCAAAATTTAATTTTCCATAAAAAATAGGGTTTTTTTGGATGGACCTGGTCCCCTCGGTATCAAAAATTTTTAGGTTTTGTTTCATTTATCGTATTTTATGTAAAGTCAGCTTTCCAAAAAGTATAAATTCTATATACATCTTCTTAGAAACTTTTTAGATAACTTAAAAAGAAAAAGATACTTTTTTCCCAAAAAAATGACAAAAAATCGCCTTTTTTAATTTTTTAAATTTAAATGCCTATAACTTTGGACTCAGTCATGATTTTTACATAATTCTTTCACTGCTTGGTATATAAACTTGTTGTTAAGCAAATAAAAAAAAATGGCGAAAATCGGAAATATTTGGACCTGCTATTATCAAAAAAACTAAAGTAAGGACGGTAAAAATTTTAAAATTTTAATATTCAAATGCGAATATCTCCTAAACTATAAGAGATAATTTACTGCTACGACGACATTTTTTATAGTGCTCGATGAGGAGATTCTATATACGAAATTTTTTTTAAATCGGAACTCAAATGAAGAAATAGGATCGTTTTACAAATTTAACATAGCCGAGGTGTCCTAATTTGAGGACCCCCCGCCGGGCCCCTGGTTGGCCTATAAGGTCCAAATTCAAAACCTAAACTCGACAACACCTCCTCTTTGTGCATACCAAATTTCATTAAAATCGGATTAACCGTTTAGAAGTTACCGAATTATTTCCCTCTTTTTTTTTCCTATACCACTGTGCGTAGTTGGATTTGGAAAGTTATTTTGATTTGGGTTCTAACTATATATAAGTGTATGTATTAGCTGTAAAATATTGCTTTGTGAATCTTAGGTGATGAGAACCTATTTGTAAATATCTAAATTAAGTATTTTTCCTGTACCACACGATTGTTCGCTTTATATTGTTTCCAAGCAGCCTAAGGTCTGTTTAGAGGTCTAAATTTAAACATAGTGTTCATTTAAGTTCGTATATGGACTTTGGAGAAGATAAATGAGGACTTCAATGGTTTTTGCTTGGATACAAGTCGCTCTCCTTTGGCAGTTAAAGATTTTGAAAGACAACTCAGTGCGTTTTTTTAATAATTCTTTGTGTTATTTCATCAATTTCTATATTTTATATTTTTTAATGATTGATTAAACATCTCATAATTGAATTCCATTGATTTATACTTGTTCTAAAAATCTAAATTAATTTTTTATATTGGAATTGCCTCATTATTTCCCTTTAAACATTTTTAGCGCAAATAACTACACAGTTTCACACAATAAGGATATGATTTTTGAAAATTACAATTGAAAAATACTTAACACGTGTCCTTTTAACAATAAAACAATAAATTCCAAAAAGCAATTAAAAAATAATTTGAAAAACCCAACAAAATTAACTGGAAATATCAATATGCAAAATACTTTATTGACGTGCAAATTCTGATGAAAAATCATAAAATGCAACAACAAATGCACCAAAATTTTTATTTTAATATTTTTTTCTTGGTTTTCCCATTCTACACAATCTCTATTTTTAATTGGAAAACATAAGTTTACTTTTTACCTGTTTTTTTGAATTTTATTTATGAACAAAAAACAAAATTCTCTTAAAAAAGGTAGGCAAAAAACTTAGTTGATTCACTGTGCATATGTACTTACTTTTTCCTTCATATTAATAGGTTGTGTCGAATCTTCTTTCTTACGAATTTTATTTGTTTGTTTTTTTTTTTTGCAAAAAATGATTGCTTCCTTTGTTTTTTACAGAAAATTTTACAGAAACACATTTTAAACAATTAATTTATATATTTAATTAAATACATTTAGCAGTTTTTGGTATTGTGTTACTATTTGTTTTAAATATTGCGTAGAATGTGTTTGTTTTTATCGTTAGCGGTGTTGCTAATATTATTTTACGTACGCGATTTTTAGCAGCGGGTAAATTGATGTATTCTAATGAATTGTCATTAATACTCTGAATGAATATGAATCAAAATTAAATTGCAAATATCCAATGATAGTAAAGTTGATTTTTACCTAACTTTGTATATATTTAAACGTACACGTGCGAGTATAATAAAATTATGAAAAGTATAATATAGAAAATACCGATTTTAACATTTTTATTTTTCAATAGCAGGTAGTAGTTTTCGCGATTTTTATACATACATATGTATGAAAATATAATAAAACCAACAATAAAGCATATTTCGCCTACTTTTTGTAATATATATGTGCACACGTGTAAATGTAATAAAATTCTAGAAAATGTATGGTAAAAAGATTTTGGTACCCTTAACTTGAATGATTTTTTAGTGATAAATAAACATTTATGAGGATTTTTACCTGTTTCTCGCGGTTTTTATATATGTATGTTTTACAAAATCAACAAATTTGCCAAGAAATACACCTAGGCCACTATCGGGCCTGTTGTGCGCTCCAATTCAAGAAACAAAAATTGTTCACTGAATGTATTATTTTTCCATGTTCAGAAACTCAGTTTCCTGGACGTAATTCCTAAAAATCTTCCAATCGGTGTTGGTTAAGAATGTTATTTCCGGAATAACATCACTTCCAAGATACTTGGATCTAACTTCGACGAATGTCTGACAATGGCAAAGAAAGTGCTCCAGAGTTTCACTATCTTCTCCACATGCTCTACATTCGTCTGAATCCGCACGTCCAATTTTGTATAGATGTGTTCGTAATCCTGTGTGTCCACTCAGAATACGTACCATCATACTAACCTCAGACTTGCTCATTTTGAGGAGATTTCTCGTCTTGCTCTCATCAGGGTCACCCCATAGAATCTTTGTGGTTCTACCCACCGTTTCATTATTCCAAGAGGCCTTATGGGATTCTCTCATCCATATTTTTAATTCAGCTTTTGTTGCGTCGAATGGTTTTGCGTTTGTCAAGTTAACTGCATCGAGCTCCCTTCCCTTTAAAGCTATTACATTCGCCCTTTCGTTGCCGACTACTCCCGAGTGGCCTGGTACCCATATGATATGAACCTTACCTCTGGGAGAGTATTCAGTTAAAGCTTTCTTACAATCCAATACGGTCTTAGATTTAATTCTATCACCTGATATCGCACAAATTGCCTTCTGGCTGTCGGTAAATATATTAAGCCCTGTGGGCGCCATATTTATTCTAGTCCAATTTACACATTCCGTTATTGCTTGTACTTCTGCCTGGAAGCTTGTGTTATGATTAGGTAAACGGTGCTATATTTCTGTTTCTGGGTCTTCAATATAGAACCCCAGGCCCACTTTGTCCCCTAATTTAGAGCCATCCGTGTAGCAACGGATTCCTAATGGTATTTGCTCTAATGTTCCGCTTGACCAAGACATTCTATCTGGGATTAGCGTTTCAAAGTTTCCGACATATTCTGTGTCTGGTATGCGATCAGGCACGTCCGATGAATGTGTATAACCTTCTAATGTGTCCAGTATACATTGCTGACGTGTCCTATAACGGTTTTTGGCCAGTTCGCCTAAAGTAAAGAGCCGTTCGGCTGTAAGCGCCGCCTCATATCTTATATACGTTTCAATGGGTGGAATATCTAGCAACGTTTCCAGAGCTTTGAAAAACCCAACAAAATTAACTGGAAATATCAATATGCAAAATACTTTATTGACGTGCAAATTCTGATGAAAAATCATAAAATGCAACAACAAATGCACCAAAATTTTTATTTTAATATTTTTTTCTTGGTTTTCCCATTCTACACAATCTCTATTTTTAATTGGAAAACATAAGTTTACTTTTTACCTGTTTTTTTGAATTTTATTTATGAACAAAAAACAAAATTCTCTTAAAAAAGGTAGGCAAAAAACTTAGTTGATTCACTGTGCATATGTACTTACTTTTTCCTTCATATTAATAGGTTGTGTCGAATCTTCTTTCTTACGAATTTTATTTGTTTGTTTTTTTTTTGCAAAAAATGATTGCTTCCTTTGTTTTTTACAGAAAATTTTACAGAAACACATTTTAAACAATTAATTTATATATTTAATTAAATACATTTAGCAGTTTTTGGTATTGTGTTACTATTTGTTTTAAATATTGCGTAGAATGTGTTTGTTTTTATCGTTAGCGGTGTTGCTAATATTATTTTACGTACGCGATTTTTAGCAGCGGGTAAATTGATGTATTCTAATGAATTGTCATTAATACTCTGAATGAATATGAATCAAAATTAAATTGCAAATATCCAATGATAGTAAAGTTGATTTTTACCTAACTTTGTATATATTTAAACGTACACGTGCGAGTATAATAAAATTATGAAAAGTATAATATAGAAAATACCGATTTTAACATTTTTATTTTTCAATAGCAGGTAGTAGTTTTCGCGATTTTTATACATACATATGTATGAAAATATAATAAAACCAACAATAAAGCATATTTCGCCTACTTTTTGTAATATATATGTGCACACGTGTAAATGTAATAAAATTCTAGAAAATGTATGGTAAAAAGATTTTGGTACCCTTAACTTGAATGATTTTTTAGTGATAAATAAACATTTATGAGGATTTTTACCTGTTTCTCGCAGTTTTTATATATGTATGTTTTACAAAATCAACAAATTTGCCAAGAAATACACCTAGGCCACTATCGGGCCTGTTGTGCGCTCCAATTCAAGAAACAAAAATTGTTCACTGAATGTATTATTTTTCCATGTTCAGAAACTCAGTTTCCTGGACGTAATTCCTAAAAATCTTCCAATCGGTGTTGGTTAAGAATGTTATTTCCGGAATAACATCACTTCCAAGATACTTGGATCTAACTTCGACGAATGTCTGACAATGGCAAAGAAAGTGCTCCAGAGTTTCACTATCTTCTCCACATGCTCTACATTCGTCTGAATCCGCACGTCCAATTTTGTATAGATGTGTTCGTAATCCTGTGTGTCCACTCAGAATACGTACCATCATACTAACCTCAGACTTGCTCATTTTGAGGAGATTTCTCGTCTTGCTCTCATCAGGGTCACCCCATAGAATCTTTGTGGTTCTACCCACCGTTTCATTATTCCAAGAGGCCTTATGGGATTCTCTCATCCATATTTTTAATTCAGCTTTTGTTGCGTCGAATGGTTTTGCGTTTGTCAAGTTAACTGCATCGAGCTCCCTTCCCTTTAAAGCTATTACATTCGCCCTTTCGTTGCTGACTACTCCCGAGTGGCCTGGTACCCATATGATATGAACCTTACCTCTGGGAGAGTATTCAGTTAAAGCTTTCTTACAATCCAATACGGTCTTAGATTTAATTCTATCACCTGATATCGCACAAATTGCCTTCTGGCTGTCGGTAAATATATTAAGCCCTGTGGGCGCCATATTTATTCTAGTCCAATTTACACATTCCGTTATTGCTTGTACTTCTGCCTGGAAGCTTGTGTTATGATTAGGTAAACGGTGCTATATTTCTGTTTCTGGGTCTTCAATATAGAACCCCAGGCCCACTTTGTCCCCTAATTTAGAGCCATCCGTGTAGCAACGGATTCCTAATGGTATTTGCTCTAATGTTCCGCTTGACCAAGACATTCTATCTGGGATTAGCGTTTCAAAGTTTCCGACATATTCTGTGTCTGGTATGCGATCAGGCACGTCCGATGAATGTGTATAACCTTCTAATGTGTCCAGTATACATTGCTGACGTGTCCTATAACGGTTTTTGGCCAGTTCGCCTAAAGTAAAGAGCCGTTCGGCTGTAAGCGCCGCCTCATATCTTATATACGTTTCAATGGGTGGAATATCTAGCAACGTTTCCAGAGCTTTGGTTGAAGTAGTACACATGGCACCACTTATACCCAAGTAGCATGTAGTAGTTTGATATTACACTTTTTGTCCAAAGCAGTCCACCAGATTATTGAAGCATAAGCTAGAATTGGTCTAATTACACTTTTATAAAGCCAATTTGTCATAGTAGGACTAAGACCCCATTTCATGCCTATGGTTCTCCTACATATCGCCCAGCACCGATGTGCCTTGTTGATCCTATCCTCTATGTGGTGCCTCCATTTTAATTTCCGGTCAAGTATTACACCTAAGTACTTAACTTTGTCTGTCACCGGTATCTTCTTGCCCAGGAAGCAAGGTTCAGTATATGCAGAAATTTTTGTCTTTCTTGTGAAAAGACAGATTTCCGTCTTCGCCGGGTTAACATTGAGGCCTCTCGGTTGAGCCCAGCTCAAGGCCGTATTCAGAGCCTCCTCAGCTCTTCTTCACAAGTAATTTGAATCCTTTCCCTTTATGTGGTGCCTCCATTTTAATTTCCGGTCAAGTATTACACCTAAGTACTTAACTTTGTCTGTCACCGGTATCTTCTTGCCCAGGAAGCAAGGTTCAGTATATGCAGAAATTTTTGTCTTTCTTGTGAAAAGACAGATTTCCGTCTTCGCCGGGTTAACATTGAGGCCTCTCGGTTGAGCCCAGCTCAAGGCCGTATTCAGAGCCTCCTCAGCTCTTCTTCACAAGTAATTTGAATCCTTTCCCTTTAAAAGTATTACGACATCGTCTGCATAGCAGACAGGTCTAAGTCCTTTCTCGGTTAGGGTCCTTAGGAGGCTATTAATCGTGGTAACCCAGAGTAAAGGTGACAAAATGCCACCCTGTGGTATACCACGAAATACCTTTTTCCTGATAGTTATATCGTACATCTCGCAGCTTATCCATCTGTTCCTTAGCATGTAGTTGATCCAGTTACGGAGCACCCGGTCAACACAAAACTGGTCTAGGGATTGGATAAGGGTATCAGTGTGCACGTTATTGAAAGCGCCTTCGATGTCAATGCATACCGCCAGTGTATACAGTTTGCTATCGAAAGACAACTTCGTTTAAAGCGGTTTCCACCGATCGTCCCTTACATAAGCATGCTGCTTATATTTAAGGTCTTTGTATGATATGCTGCTTCCGTTCCAAGGTTTTAAGTAGGAAGGACGTAAGACTTATCGGTCGATAGGACTTAGGTGTCGCATAGCTAGGTTTCCCTGGTTTGGATATAAATATTACCC